GTTGTTCTCATTTCTGCTGACATGCTCAGCTCAAACCAGAAAGTCTACAAGATGTGACAGCGCTTCTGGCTCCAAGCAGGCAAGGACCTGGAGGAAGGGTCGCCTGCTCAATGTTTGTGCCAGTGTATCCGCTGCTGGTAATGATGCTATTTATACATGATGCTCTGAATCAGAGTTTCCCCTCTGTAGAGCTGCTGGACAAAGTCATTACCACTGGCTCCCCACAGGTAACACCGCACCTAGTGTAGGCAAAGTCACCTCTGGTTTTGAAGATCTGTTCCAATGTTCTCGGTTACTCTCCTTTCTGTTACAGCCTCGCATGTAAGCAGATTATCTTACAGCTGCAGCGCTGCCGTGTGTGTTGTCATGGCACTCATCTTGCTTCTGAGATTACTCATCAGCAGCAGTATTTGTCTCACAGTAGGAAAGTCGTGTCCTGTAATATTTGGAGCGCTCGAGACTCTTGTTTTAGAGGACCTATCTAATCATCATAATATGTGCAAAGATTGAAATGAAGCGGTGGCTGAACTGATAGTTGAGTCCATTGATTTTCCTCACCAATCTCTGCTGTGCCCTTCGCATCCAGGCAATCTGTGTCTGGACCAGGGATGGATAAAGAGGACATGCCTACTGGGTGCCAGCATGAGCACGCTCGCTGCCTGATAAAATCCGCTGTGACAGTGGAGACAGACATTAATAATACAGGCTGAGTTCATCGTTTTAATTGAGACTTACAGCATCTCCCATATCCAATTAAAACCTTGGTAGAATCCCAGCAGGCAGAGTTTGGTTGATGGAACTGCAAATCAGTGAGGACCACTGAGCTGACAGGCTCCATCAGCAGTGTCCTGTGATCCTTAGGCATGAGTTTGAAAGGTGGCATAGCCAGCAGAACTGCAGCCCTGGAGCACCACGCGGTGTAAGTGCTGGGTGCATGCCATTTGTTCAGTCCCCAGCCAGCCTGGGCTCCTTCCCGAGCACCAACAAGGCTCCTACGCAGAGCACAGGACTCTGGAAGAAGGTAAAGCTGCAGCGTTTTTCCCATCCTTTTTCTAGTTGATATATTTCATCCCAGCACAGGATTTCCAAAACCCGTTGTTCTCACCAGCACTCAGCGTGGAGAGCCATGTAATAGGCTACTCTGCTCTGTATGGACCATGGGTCCTGTTAGAGCTGCCATTCAGGGAAGCCATGGCAGCAGCCTCTAAATAGGGAAAGTTTGTTTTGTGTGCTGTCAGAAGGCCTGTTTTTTGTGTTCAGTATTTATTTTGCATATACATAATTTGCCAGATCCAGCCTTGCTTTCTTCCCGGCAGTGGCTGCGTGGAAGCTCTGCAGATCCATCATGTTCTTTCACATCACGTTTCCAAAGCACTTTGCTGATATTCCTTCATTTTTCTCTTACCTACCTTGACAAGTTACATAATTTAGGTCTCCCAGTTACGAATGCTAATTATCTGCTGGCTCATTCTTGGCTTTCAGATAGCAGTCAAGGCTAGCTGAAGAACTGCCTAGTAAAAACAAAAAGCATTAAAAATAAGTGGATTTACGATATACACAGGTAACTTCAGCAGTGACCTTTACAGAGGCTGAGAAATATCTGAGAGAGATCTGCTTGACGAGTTCACAGCTTGTGGTATAATCTATTGTCAGTCATCAATTTAGTTCGGTTCCCTTAAAAGTTTGTCTGTTTTTGTAAGCAATATTTTATTAAATTCAGAACAAAAATAAATGCAGTTCTATAACACATTGTTACTAATCAAATAAGGTAAGATATTTTTCCTGTGCATAAGAAAATGTCTTTTATCCTTCCGACGTACAGGATAGCTTAGTAATTGTGTTTTATCTAGATTTTGAAGTAGGTATTTTCCTTTAAATTTATCTAGAATTAGATTTTTCTTTTAGATTTCATATTTCCCCTGGAATTGTACAAATTAAGATTATCTTTCTCTCCTGCTCTCCCATTTTCCATGTTCTTAAAAAAATCACTCACACTTGAAGCCTTATGGAAAGAGAGAGAGAAAAAAGGTTTTAGGGCGGGAGTGAGAATGGAAGGGGTGGGAGATATAAAGCCCCAGTTGGCAATTCAGCGCTCTCACATTTTATAAGACAGTAAAATCTGCATGTGGCAGATGCTCTTTTTATAAGGAGAAAGACACCCCTTGTAATTTAAGTCAGGATCTCTGAAATTCTGCTGGGTGTGTTTTCAGAAATTTTTCTGGGAAAGCATCTTTTAGTTTTGAAAATCAGCAAGTCACTTGGCAGGTTTTTAGAATGGGGAATTGAATATAAAAATCGGAGTGCTGTATGAAAGGGTCATGTCATAAATGCAATATTGTTTGCAGGTGCTGGCCCTCTAACTAGCAAAGGGATGCAAACGTGTTCCTTTTTAGCATGCTGCCAGGCCTTGCTCTGCAGGATGAAACGGGATTAGAGGGCTGTTCTGACCTCCGAAGACCACTTTTTTGCAGTTTTCTGGCACGGCTCACTTAACTGATTTCATTTCCAGAGGTGCTGTAGATTCAGAGCTGTCCAGTTCCGCTCCATGGCAGTGGGGAGATTAACGCTCTGGCACCACCACGCTCTGTGTAAAGACAGCACCGCTTACAAACCCCAAAAGCAGCTTCAGAGCTGATCCCGCGGGGTTGCAGGTACTGGGGATGGAAGGACATCATAGGCATTTAGGCGTCCTAATTAATACTGCCAGAGAACATCCCCAGAGCGCGTCAGATAAAAGTCAAGGCAAGATAAAGCATTATGGAAAAAACTATCTGTAGCTTGTAGGTTGTTTAAATTTTGCAACCAAAGTAGTGGATAAGAAAGTAATTTGGATGGAGCAGTGTAAAGCTAAGCCATCTCAGGACAAATGTTCTACCTGAGAAGTTAATTTCCTAAGAAAATTATGTGGCAAGGCATTTCTGTGTGTGGATGGAGTCTGGGAAGCATGGGATGAGAGAATGAGGGTCGTGAGACAACGACCCTGAAAGCCAAGTCTTGGTCTCGTGAAGAGTGACCGATACATGCAGTACCAGTAGGGAAGAGGGGAGTCTGTTTTGCCCCTGCCCTTTTTAGTTGCTCTTTTTGAATCACATTTTTGTTTTCCTCAACACAAGTTTTGAGAAGTATTTTAAAGAAGTGTTTTTGGGGGAATGTTTTTTTGACCAAAAAAAAAAAAAAAAGTGACTGAAAGGAAGCTTTTTTTTTTTTTTCTCTGCAGAAGTTGTGTTAGTCCTGCAGGCATTAAAGCATAGCATTTTGCTTGAGGATATTAGAATGTGCTCATTCTGGGAAGGGAAAGCTGCCAGAGACCTGGAGGGGGAAAAAAAAAAAAAGCACAGGGCTGAGGAAGAAAGCCAAGAGGATGTGGGTAGTGCAGGTGGGTAATGGAGAAGAAGGTGTGAAAAATCTCTTTGTGCTAGGAAGAAGCAAGAAAATGGAGGTTGCAGCTGCTGACAGCCTTATCATCTGCTTCATAGAAGTCAGCTGGAGCTGGGAGGAGAAGGGAGCACATTGCACCTTCAGAGGAGTGGGAGGCAGTGAGGGTGGCAGCTGCTCAAGGATGGTGCCAGGCTGTGAGAAAGCTGCACCTTGCACCCCTCCGCTTCCTCCAGAGATGTCAGGGAGTAGGGCGAGAGGCAGCTGTAAGCCTGGCTTAGCACGGGCACCACCTGAACGATTAGGTGCATTCAAGAGCAGCTCTGCAGGCTAATGCAGCAATCTGCCTGCTGCGGCTGCTTCATGGGCAGCAAATGCTGCAGAGCTTCAGGGGAGGCTGCAGACCTTCCTGTAGCCCAAACTGGAACTCTGCCTGCATTGCTAGGTGCTGCTCCGCGCTGTTGCTTGTTAGAGGTGTCACCTGGGATCCAGCTGCTGCATACAGCTGGCAGAGGGGATGCCGACCTCCTCTGCTAGTTATAATCAGAGCACTGTGGTTAAAACCAGAAACACAGACACGTTTCAGGCAGCCCTTCTCTTTTCTCTTCTGTGCTGGTGTGATCAGACGCTGCATGCATGTGAGGGTACTGCCCGTGCTGGTACCACTGAGTGACTGGAGAACTGGCTGAGTTAAGCCTAAAACTTTTTTATTACATTTCACTGCAAATTTCGTTGCTTTATGATCACCAGTTACCAATTTTTAAGCCAGTCTATTCTAAACAGACATTCGAAGTCTTGTACAGTGGCTTAAGCAAGCAATGATTTTTCTCTACAAAGCACCCTGTGGTTTCCTACAGCATACGCTTTATCAGAATAAAATCCCGAGTGGCTAATGGTGTCTGAAGGATTTGTAGCTCATGTGCGAGCCAGGACTGAAAGCAGCACTGGCTTTTTCTTCCCTAGCTTTGAACTTCTTCCTGGGTCCGTGGATTCTTGTTGCCATTTGCTACATTCATATAGATTTTCAATATGTGGCATTAGGCTGGAGAGAATTAATTTCCTTTCAGAGTCATTCTGAACTGGAAAGCCTCCAGCTGCATTTCCAGGACTTCTGTGCAACACTGGTGCTTTTGCCTGGCAGGACAATCTCAGCCTGAGGCAGTCACGCAGTGCCCAGCAGAGAGACGTACCTCACCTCACACATACCTCACAGAGGTGAACTCCTGAACCATTGCTGTCTTGGGGCTGGAATCCAGTCCAGGGAGAGGGGTGCCAGGAGCAGGGAGAGGGGCTGCAACCACAATTGCTCCCGTGTCCCACAGCAGTGCAGAGTGGGAGCAGACTCCAGTCCCAGTCCTGCTGCTCCAGATGATGCAGGATGGACAACTTGCTCTTCCACAGGACTGCACGCTTCGCAGCATTTAAATCTTTGTGTTGCTTTTTGTGGCTTTTATTTTTTTGTTTGTTTGTTTGTTTTACCTCTCCTGCAGTGGTAAAATTCCAGCAAATGTGCATGCAGTGCCTTCTAAGAAAAGGAGTTCTGGTTGTTTAGACACATTGCTATTGATGTCTGTGAAACAGTTGGGTCATTTTCTATAATTTTCCTTTCTGCTACTGTCTTCCAGGTGCATACATTCAGGGGCCCGCACTGGTGTGAATACTGTGCCAACTTTATGTGGGGCCTCATTGCTCAGGGAGTAAAATGTGCAGGTAACACTTGTTCTGTCTTCTTTTTCTAAGTCACTGCCAATGTTTTAATGACTGAATTTGCTGCCTGCTCCACTGTAAACCCATGCAGCAAGGGTCTGATCTATCCTTGTTGAAATCAAGGAAGGAGATGTGTTCCCTCTGCTGCTGGTGTCCCCATGTTCATAACATCACTGTGGTGATGCACAGCACGTCTTGAGTGCTCACGGGGGGAAATGACATCAATCATTGATTCTTTTGTTTGCTTGTTTGTTTTCAGAATGGAGGGAAAAATAGGTAAATGTGTTATTACCTTTATTTCCTGTATAGCGCTTGTATGTATTGGTCGGTGTGAGAGACTGGTCAAGGGTCTCAATGTGCAAGGTGGGCAATCAGCAAGTTTCACGTTGTGGCTCGGAAACAGACACTTGGGTTCATTTTCTTTCTGAGCCAGCAAACTCTCAGTGTGCCATACACCCTAAGTCATGTTCCAAGTTTGCAAACTTTAAATAATAGTAAGAAACAGAAATGTTGCATAAACATGCAGGTGCTGATATAAATGTGTTACACGCATGGGTGTCACTGCAGGCATTTCTATGATTAAGCCTCTCCAAAGTAAAACACTTCGGCTGTTTTATTGATGTGATTCTTCTGAAAAGAAACGACAGTCTTCTCTTTTCAAAGGCAAAAAAGGATCAAAGTGATCAAAATAGTTTACTGTATTTAAAATGTATTCTATGACATTCTAGTAGCCACATTTATATAAACGGTGCAAAGAAATGTTGATGTATAAAGACCTGCATATGTTGCCCTGGAAACTGAATTTTCAAGCTAATTTAAGAAAATCTGCTCTGTCTAAAGCTTTTTGAAATCTTGTCTCAAGCAAATAAGAGAACTCTTTATGTTATTTTGCAGTTCTGTGATAAAAATTTAAACTAATGTATAGCCAATTGTGATTGAAATACTTTAAAATCCTGCCACCAGAATTATTTGAAATGCAGTATTCTATTATCAATAGACTCTGCACTGTCCAGGACTGTGTATTAAATAGTGCTCTGTTTTAAGAGAAGATTATGTAAAAATGGCATTTTCTTCCTCAGTATTTTTCCCTGTACTGAGTATTTAGGGTTGCAGCCATGTCCTCCACTGATGAGTTAAGACTCAGTAGTTACTGCATTTGATGTTGCACAGGGTATATGGACAGTGTTAGAAGAGAAAGAAGAAGCTTGATTTTCTTCTTGAATCGGTTTCTGAGTAATGCACTTATTTTTTATTGACACATGAGCTAATAAATGTGCCATCTTCCTTTCTCACCTGGTGTAGAGTTCCCAGTTTTGGTGTTTAGAAGAAGTACTAAATATTTTCAGATTTTTGATAACTAACATCCAGAAGATCAATAAAACCAAACAGTATGAAGGCTCACAATGCTATGTGGCAATGTGGAATGAACAAATAATACTACTTTTATAATTAAATCTGAAGTGCTTATGATTTTGTGCTGCTTTTTTAGAATATAACTATAGCTTATTCTCTGGTTTTATGTAGATATTTCTAAAATACTGGTTTTCTTTCCTGCCTATGGGAATAGTAATAAGTACTGCATGCCTTCTTTTTTCCTCCTTGACAGTCTAGAGGAACATATGTGTATTAGATGACTTCATAGTTTCAGAAACTATAATTAGGGCTTTCTATCTTGTGTAAGGTTTCATATTGGTGTCGGTAGCTTCCAGCATCTTCGATGATCTTATTCATATTTTAAAATCCCACATCATACGACCACGCTCGCTTGCTGAAGCGTCTGCGGGGGTTGAGGCGCCGGGTGGGAGAGGTGGCCCAGGTACTGCTCAGCCAGACCTACAGCCACTGAAAACCCATGTCCTTTGAGCAGAGGCCAAATCCTGTCCTCATTGTGATGAGTGGTGACCAGGGAAGGCACACTCTGAGACAGGAGAGCTTTATGTGGAGGAAATGCAACAGAGCGTTTAACACACATGTTAAGTGGAGAGGTTAAGGGTGTGGAGAGGCCTTCAAACTCCATGAAAAAAAATACTAATTAAGCATGGTTCTCTGAAGAGCAGATTTATGAAGGCCGCACTTCCCAGCCTGCAGATGTGGTTTGCTGTGTGTGGCCTGCATGGCTTTTTTGGAATTGAGGGACCAGCTCTCCCAAGGACGTGATCTGCAGCCTGTCCACCCAGCGGGCTGTCCTCTCGCTTGTCGTTCCCTCACTGCAGGGCTAGGTTCTAGCTGCCAGTCAACTTCAGTGATACCTGACAGAAAATTAGGGGCTTCCCAGATATTATTCTCATACGTTTCATAACGCTCAGCAGCTGGGCAGAGGAGATTTTGGTGTGTTTTTTTGTTGTTGTTTTGCAGACCAGCAGAGGAGGGCTGATTAATCAGCATGGCTTAGCCTAGATAGTAAGTTTTTACTATTTCATTTGATGGGATTTTGTTTGGCTGGATTTTTGAGTTTGTTTTAGTGCCGTTTTGTGTCACCCAGATGGTTGGGTTGCCGTGTTTCTTTCTGTGCCTGACCCGCAGCAGTGCGTGCCTGGGCCCACCAGCCCAGGCCACACAGACCGCCAGAGCCGCACTGAGATGGCGGCATGAGGGCAGAGGTGCGCAGCGCGGTGGGGCCTAGGTTGCCACCAGACCCAGAGCAGCGTGCAAGAGCCCAGGCTTGAGGGCTGTGGCTTCGGCAGTGAGATTGCATGTTTGGGGGGGAAAAAAAAAAGTAGTAATCATTTTGCTGCTGAACTGAGCCATTTTGATGTGGAAACAGTGAGGCATAGTGCACAGGGAGCCACATGAGGCCATTGCTTTCCAGAGAAGATACGTACTTCAAAAAAATTATAGCTTTTAGCAGGAGGCAGCCCGCTTGTGTTCAAATGGGGTTCAATGTCACCCCAGGGAAATCCACAAGATCTGTTTGGTGGTCTGTGTAATCATGTTATCGGGAATACCTATGAGCAAAACTGCACTGATCATATGTGATTTTATACTTTTTAAAGTATTTGCTGTTATAGCAGATAGTTGCACATCTCAAGAGGAATCTGTTAGCTGTACAGAAGTGAGAAGAAACATAATGGATTACTGTTTGGGCTACACTCAGCCGTCCCTCAATCCTCTTCTCAGCAGAAGCACAAAAATATGCAAGAATAGGCATGTGGGACAGTCCAAGACTGGTCAACAGAGATAAATGTCATCCATTTCAGAACAGAGGAGGGGAAGCTAGAGGAAGAAGTGGAGCTTATTTGTAATGGCTGGTAGATTGGCTTTTGTTACACAAACAAGTCAGTTCTTTGCAAAATAATAAACCAGAAGCAAACGCTCAGAACCATACTCACACCATAGCAACCAGCAAGGATGCCTTAGCAACTTGAACTGCCCTGACTCGGGCTTTGTCACAGGCCAGCATGACTGAATGTGTCCCCTCAGCCAAAATACAGCCTTGAGTGAGTTCAGTGCCTTGTTGGGCATTGTCCCATATAACTAGCCTCCGGAAGGTGGGCTGTCCATAGCGCATGCTTGGCCAGGCTTTATGGCAGGCAGAGAAGGAAGAGTATGTCTCTTTGCTTGCAAGATTTGCTTGTATAAGAGTGAATCCTTATCACAGGCATCACCAGCCCTCCTGCCTCAGAGGGTCATGCTTCCAATTTTTGCATCCTAGCCACAGGCCCTTAAAGTTTCTTTGAGCTGAAAGCTCATCTATATGCAAGGAATCTGCCTTTTCTGATGTTGTGCTCCATCTTCAGCATGCTTTCCTTTGGGCTTTTGCCATAAGTAGAAATCACTGAAGAAGTGTTTGAAATTATAATGCCAGCAGCTTGTGTAAACATTGAAGCTCAGCAGAAGCTAATGAAGCTCAGTTCCAAATCCAGTGCATAAACTTAAAAAAATAAAAAAATAAAGTATTCTTAATTACATTCTTAAGAAGGTAAGCCTCCTATGCAAGGCTCCCTGTGCTTACAGTGCTCATCCCATTCCCCAGAATGTGTTCAGGAAAGAGACTAGAATAATATCCAAGGAAAAGTTGTAGAAAACACTAGGGAATTCATTTTATGAATGATACAAAAATAAAAGATTCAGAAACGTTAATGGAGACTGGTGTGTTATCAGAGCCTAGAGCAGGGCATTCATGCCGTGTTGGTACACGGCCCAAGCAGACTCACAGAGCAGCAGGGTGGTCAGCTTGTCAAGGGCTACAGGTTTCCTGCCCCTCCTCAGCCCATCAGAACTATTCAGTGCTTTGTATACTCACCTCCTTCCTTTATACCTTTTTGCTTATTGTTCTTAAGTGATTTAATCAGGATGTTTTTTAGAACAGACCCACACCTGTTCATGAAAAACACATCCAAACTTCTTCTGAAGTGCGTAGCCAGGCTCTGCTGGTTTCCTTGACTGTGTAGAGCGTGGACAGAGCCACAAACCAGAACAAGAGCAAAGCCACAGAGGCAGGGTTCAGGGTCAGGGGCTGTGGGAAGGGGACTGTTAGAACAGCCTCTGCCCACCTCAGGCAGGTGGAGATGCTGTTGGAGGAGATACACACCGCCTTGACAGGCTGTTCCACCAGCTCGGGATCTGGTGGTGTTCCTGTGAGGAATGAGCTCCAAAATTTTGAAATGCTAATCAGGCAGTGGAGCCTTGCCTCAGAGCCGTTCCCATGGGGAAGCTGTTCCCATGGGGAAGCTGAAACTGTAAGTCCTAAAAATGTCTTCATCTCCAAGCCCACACAGACCTGGAAGCCTCAAGCAAGCCAGCGGCCCATCAAGGGAGCTGTTGAGGAGGTAGGCAGGTGTCATGGCAGGGAGCCAGGGAAGTTTGTGACCAAACTTATCTCTGTGATCGTTCAAAACTACCATACAATCAAACCACCTCCACCAGATATCTTCTGTTGAAAGAACATTTCACTTATGTTTTTCAACCAGTTTCTGGAGGCACAGAACTATATGTTCTTTTCATTTGGAATAAGGGGGAATTGGCTTGCTCCAGGAGGCTTCTTTTCTTTTTGTATTTCATAA